CCCCTAAACCCTACAAGCCGAAACCCTAAACCCTAAATATAGGTTGGTTTCATAAGGATCCTTCGACGTCGGCTTTACAACATGGCTTGGGACTCGGCTTTCGGGTCAGGACTCCGAGGGGTCTGCGGCTTATATGGGAGTTTCCGAAAATGAGGGGTACCTTATTTTGGGGTCCTTATAATAAGGATCCTACTATTCAGGGTACTATATTAGGGTGCCCTATTTTCGGAAACTCCCATATAGAGATAATGAAGCTAGGTACCTGAGTCGCCCCTTTGTCACAAAGGGGACCCTTTTTTCCTACTACTCGGTTTGAATTAACAAGGGAATCCAAGAAACAAAACGGGCAAGCGGCTCAGGCACCTACGCAGCAATAAAGGGATTAGGGCTTGTAGGACAGAGTAGAGCTGAATCCTTTGGGTCTTGAATAATTGTAGTAGTAGCCAGAAAGTTGGAACATCAATCTCCTCATGCCATTAAGGTAGATAGGGGATCCTAGCACGAATCCTCCTGAAACCATGCTCCAACTTTCTGGGGATCGGCGTATCAGTCTGAGGGATCAGTTGAAACCTTCAGCAGAAGCCAAAATGCTGGAACTTCGCGTCCCAGTGCTCCCAAACCCTAAACCCTATACTGTACGCCCTAAACCCTCAACACGAAGCCCTAAACCCTAAGCCCTAAACCGCTCATCCTCAACATCCCAACCTCCAGCTTTCCGAGGATCTCTCTAGGGTGCCGGGTTGAGGAGTTTTAAAAAAGCAGCTTAGAGTTAAGGTGCGCAGTTTTGCAGTATAAAGGATGCTCCAGAAGGCTCATTGCAAGCTTTCGAGTTCAAGAGCCCGACATAAGTTTCAACAATCTTACTTCTTCGGGTTTACGAACCTGAGGAAAGTTTTCAGGGCGTCCTCAACCCTAAACCCTGATTTTGATGTCTCAGACAGAGCTGAGAATGAATTCCAAGGAGGCTTTAGGCGCGAATGCACTGTAATTATCAGTACCAATATCTAGAGAGGTTAATGTATACATCTGCATACACACACACACACAGAGGATACCCCAATACATATATGAATGCGTACATGCATGCATACGTGCGCACACACGCACACACATATACACACGTACACACACGGTGTACGAAACAAACCGACCCGAAGCCCAGAACCCCCGAAATACTTGGGCACCCGACTCCTTCGTAGCCGACCTGCTGAATCGGGTGAGACTCTGGATAGTTTGGGGTTTAGGGTTAGCAGGTTTAGGGTTTACCCAGAAGCAAACAAACCTTACCTGGACCCCATAACGCTAATCTTTTCAGGGGTCCTTCTTAAGCTTTCCTTATGAGTCCTGAAAAGGTAAGATATTGGAGTTTAAGGTAAACCCATACCCCACTAAACCCTAAACCCTCCTCCTGTCTTTAAGTTCAGGACCATAGGGTTGAATGTTAGGATGCAAGGCTTTCGGGTTGAGATTTCGAACGATTTAGACGTAGTGGTCTTGGGATTTAGACTTTGTGCTGCTGCAGCTCTTTTGATGCTGACGAGAGAGATGTGATCGAGTCGGGCTTGTTGTCGAGGTTTAGCAATACTGCGGTCGGGAAATAACACTAAATTTACGCTGTGTTACTTTAACGCAACCCGACTGTTTCAACCCATAACTACGTTAATTAGGGTGTTTGGTACAACTCATTTCCACGACTCTACTTATTGAACCCTACAACTGAAACCACGTACCCTAAACCGTGAGGCCTTGCAATGGCAGGCAGCTCCATGTTGCTGGCTGACGGCACAATAGCCGTTGCCTGGTCGGTTCGAAGTTTGAGGGTTTAGGGCAAAACAAAGAAGGTTTGTGGGCTTAGGGTTTAGGGGTTTAGGGATCAAGGTTCTCAAAGTAAGGGTTTAGGGTAAAGTCTTGGGTTTATAGGGGTTTCGGGTTTGAGGTTTAAGGTTCAAGGTTTGAGCTTATGGGTTTAGGGTTTAGGGTCTGCCCAGAAAGCTCAATACAGATATACTCTAGAGCTTTATGTAAAAGCTGCTTTTGGTAGACTTCTATGAGGTGTTAATTAGTAAGCTTTTGTGCTCATGAAAGCGGTGCTTCGTGCTCTTTGCGGATCATAAGCGATACAGCTTAAACGCGCGCCGCGGGTCGGGTTTGCCCCTTTGGTCCTTGTGGCGTTAAGGGCTGCGTGGCTTTAGTCTTCAGGGTATGAGGTTTGGGGTGTTAGGGTTTAGGGTTCAGGGTTTGAGGCTTGGGGTGTCAGGATTAAGGGAGTCATGGCTTATCTGGATTATTGTTGAAGCTTTTGTGTTCAAGGGTGGAGCTTTGTTTCTGTGGAGGTACCACTTTCAGGGTCTCGAGCGCTGGGTACGGACATAGCTGCACACATGTCTCAGTGTCCAGTTCAGTCCGGCTGCCCTGAACCCTAAACCCGGAGAAAGTTCCAAGAGATCACAATACCCCTGAATTAAGAAATATACCTCAAATTATAGAGGCCTAGTATTATGGTTTAAGGTATATTCCTTAATTAAGGAGTATACCTTAAATTACAGAGGCATTAGTATTACGATTTAAAATATATATTCCTTAATTGAGGGGTATTAGACTCCCCTAGACCCTAAGCCTATAGATCTCTTATAGATCCCTTAAAGGAACCCTAGGTCCCTAGGTATATTCCTTAATTAAGGGGTATCGGGCTCTCTGCGTTGTAGGCTCGTCTCTCCGGCTCTTTTCTCGTCTACCTCTAGGGCCCTAGGGTGTAGGGTTTAAGGCCCTTAAAGGAACCCTAGAACCCTTATGGATCCCTTTAAAGGAAGCCCTTAAAAGGGACCCTAAAGAGGAGTCCACAGCTGCCGCGAGCTGGTGTGTGGAGGCCGGGATCTACTTAGAGGATCATGGGACTTAGTAAGTAAGTTATAATTGGGGTTATAAGTCCCCTAACTGGGGTTACCCTAACTATAACCTACTTATAACCTTACTTACTAAGTCCCATGAGCCTTCAAGTAGGGTTGAGTGTTTAGGGTCCTACGGTTTAGGGTTTCGGGTTTAGGGTTTAGGGGATACTTCCCGAGGTCATAATAGGAATTCCTAATATGGAAACCCTACATTCTACTATATCGGTACATAGGACCCTTTGGGACCTTAAGCTACCACAGTTCACCTACTTTTTTGTAGGTTCTTATTGTAATCCCTAATATGGAATTTTATAGGGACCCTACAAAAAGTAGGTTTTGGTTCTGTAGGTGAAGGTAGCTTATAAAACTCAGGTACGAACTTCAGGCGTCGGTGTTTTCTTCCTTTCTTCTCAATGCAAAGAATGTTCCAGAAACCCTTAACCCGAAACCCTAAACCCTTAACCAGAAAGCCACGTTGCAAGCCTGAAGTGGCGGCGCAGTTGATCTGTGTTTCTTTGGGGTGGTGGGGGGTCCGAAATTCAGAACAACAAAGGTCGTTTAAAAATGTATACCTTCCGCCCCATGAGAAAAACTCGATCAACCAAAATGAAGGTTCGAAACCAACACCACCCAAACCCTATAGATCCCTTTCAGGAACCCTCGAACCCTCATAGATCCCTCTAAAGGCCCTATAGAAACCCTGAGATCTCTTTGACCCTTATAGAACCATTTACAAACCTCATAAATCCATTTGGGTAGCTGTCAAAATCAGGGTCCCTTTTGGGGTACCCTAAATAATAAGTGCCGTATTATAATAAAACCCCCAAAAGGGACCATATTCTTGACAACCACCCATTTACGGAAGCCTTAAATCCTGTCCGCATGGAACCTTTCGAGGCTCTATGGACCCCTTTACTATCTTAACCTTTAGATCCCTCCTTAAAAACCCCCCTCATGGATCACATGCTGAGTTCATAAGCCCCCAAAAGTGTACACTTTTGGTTTTATAGTGGGTGATATTCTCCCAAAGAGTGTACAGTGTATCCACTTAGCTCCTAAGTATTGAACCCTTTAGGGAACCCTTGGATCCTTCTGGGTTGCCCTTTAAACACCCTGAAAAATATTTATATATAGGGTCCCTTATAAACCCAAATGAGGAAGATGAAAAATGTCCCAAAATCCAATCAAACCCTAAACCTTAATCCCTAAACCCTAAACCCTAAGGGGCCTTTAAAGGAGCCCTATATCTACCCCCTGAAAACTACCCATGAGCGCGAGCCTTTCTGGAAGCCTATTTGAAGGCTCATGGGACTTAGTAAGTAAGGTTATAAGTAGGTTATAATTAGGGTAACCCCAGTTAGGGGACTTATAACCCCAATTATAACTTACTTACTAAGTCCCATGATCCTCTAAGTAGATCCCGGCCTCCACACACCAGCTCCCGGCAGCTGTGGACTCCTCTTTAGGGTCCCTTTTAAGGGCTTCCTTTAAGGGGATCCATAAGGGTTCTAGGGTTCCTTTAAGGGGCTTCCTTTAAAGGGATCCATAAGGGTTCCAGGGTTCCTTTAAGGGGCTTCCTTTAAAGGGATCCGTAAGGGTTTTAAGAGGGTTCAGGGCTTAGGGGTTTAGGGTTCCTGGTTAGGGTCCCTTTTAAGGGCTTCATTTAAAGGGATCCATAAGGGTTCGAAGAGGGTTTAGGGGTTCAGGGCTTCGGGTTTAGGGGTTTAGTGGTTTAGGGGGTTGGCGGTTTAAGGTTTGGGGTTTGGGGTTCAGGGCTATTGGGCTTACCTAGACTAATCAATGTACCTTACACAAAAGGGATATGACCCAAAACAATGGTACCTTTGTTAAAGGTACGTACCTTGGTTACTCTGGGTAGGGTTGAGGGTTTAGCGCTCAGGGTTGGGGGAAAGGGATCTCAAACCACTTGCTCAAGGATGTTCAAGGCTCTAACGTAAACACTTAAACAATCACAAAAGGGTTTCGGCGAGTTCTTTCTTATGAACACAGTATAATATACTCTTAAACCTGCCTCCCTACATTATGGGCTGGTCTTTCGGGGTTTAGGGTGTAGGACGTATAGAGTCCAGGTGCAGTTCAGTATTCAAGGCTTCAGCCCTGCAGCACACCCAGAGCCAACAAGTGGGACCTGGGATGAACACGGGCTCCGAAAACAGTCTGGATACTTTAAATTAGATGGGGCTTCATATTGTGGCCCAAGCTATATTCCTGAACCCATCAAATAACTACCTTTGGTATATAAAACAACCATATTACGAAACCCTACAAAGGTAGCTGATTTGGGGTCCAGGCATTCCTTAATTGAGGGGTATTGGGCCCTGCTGAGAGGCCCCCGGGTCGAACTTGGGCCTGTCCTACCGTGTCAAGGCCTTCAGGCTCAAGAGGGGTGTAGAGAGTTGGGTCCAAGGTCCCCAGAGACTCCAAAACCCCTCAATTATAAGCCATAACTCAGGAATATGTGTATATATATATATATACTATATACCGTAAATCTTATTTGGGTCTCCTAAATATTTAAAGCATATTCCTTGATTGCGGGTTGTGGAGTCTCTGGGTCACTGCTCACATCTGCCACAATCTTGGTGCCGTGCCCCCTTCGCCAGCAGGGCTGCCCAGGTTCAGGCGCCGCAGGAACCATGCAAACCACCATGGCAATGTAACGTAGGGGTAGGGTTTCATAGGGTTTCTTTAAAAAGGGGAAAATGGGATCTGTAAGGGTACTATAGTGTATCGGGGCCGTAATGCCTCAATTGGAACAGGGTTTGAAGGTATATTATACTATCCTTATAATAGGAACCCCCAAAAACCGAGTCATTAAAGCCCCAATGCAAAAGTATCCGCGCCGATGAGTCTGTCTTGTGACCAAAACGGTCCAACTGCTCCTCAAACCTGACCCGTACAAAAACCAACAAAGCCTTTTTAGAAGCCCTCGAAAGTCTTCTCCCTACAAAAGCGCGACCCCCAAGACCCTGATTAACACTCCACGGCCCCGAACCTCAGAATCCTAAACTTCAAACCCCATGATCCTGAACCCTAAAGCCTAAAACGACCCTGAACCGGGAGCCTTCTGATTGTCCCATGAACTGCCGGAGCGTTGAGGACAGCCCGGCGGCTACTCCTTGCGTTTAGGGTCTCTAGAAGCAAACCCTGAACCCATAAAGGTTTAGGGTTTAAGGTTTAGGGTTTAGGGTATATCCCTTAATTAAGGAATACCTGGACCACAAATTTCAAACAACCTACTTTTTTAAGCTTCCCCATTATGACGTCTTTTTTTACGTCCATTAAAAAAAGGAGGTTATGTGGGATTAAGGTAAACCCTGAACCCCTAAACCCAAAGGCAATTTGGGTTTGGGGTTTCTTCCGTGAGAGCTCGAAGAGCACGTAGCCCTGACCCTGCGGCTGAAAGGCTTCTGGGGAAGCAGGGCTAGGAGTGGGTTATCGGGCTTAGGGTGTGGGATGGCGCGCTTGTCATTCCGGCGGTACGATGTGCAGACATCTACCCTGCAAGTGTCAAGGCCAAAATTGCCAGAAAGTTTGAAACCTATGCCTGCAAGTCCAGGCCAGTGATGCTCTTTGCGGTCACTGCCTCTGTTGTTAGAGTGATTTCTTGTGCTTGGCTCCTCCCAACAAAGAACTTCAAAGGAATCCTATCACCCTCAACCCTAACCTTAAAACCATAGCCTCCGCACTGGAACTCTGAATTCAACACAATACGAGGCCTGGCTGTGGCTGCTATTTGGTTACGATGGGGGCCTTAACAATTTGACGGCTTTGCGGGTCTAGTGTAATACGTGTATACAAAGATGTATCTATGTAGATGCAGCAGTGCGGCCGTTCAGCTGAGACTCCAGTAGCCTGAACTTGAAGAACTAGCTTAAACCAGATAAACCAACTCAACCCCTACAACCGATGTCAAGGTACTGTCCAAACTAAAAAGTCTTATGCGTGGCTCATCCATCATTTCTGGGGCCTTCAATCAGCAACACGAAGAAACAGTGAGTTTTATAGAACAAACCCTGTAACCAGGTGCTTCTATGGAATCCCTGCCGAAAAAGGCTGCCCTAACAGGTCTGTCTCCACTGAATTAGGGGACTTCGAAATTGGACAACCCTGCATAGGAACTCGAAGGGAGTCCCTAAACCCTAAACCCTAAAACCCTAAACCCTAAAACCCTAAACCCTAAAACCCTAAACCCTAAGGGAGAATGACCGACTCATTCGCGCCTCGGGCGTTCTCTGCTTCCATTCGCGACTCCTCTCTAATCTCAAAGGCCTGCGACCGCTCAGAAAAGTGGGATTTGGGGTTTGGGGGTGTTGGGACTTGGGGCTGAAACGGCTCCTGCAAAGGTTAGTGTCTGGAGTAAAGTGTCCTGAAAGAGCAGTGTACGTAAAGCCCTAAACCCTAAACCCTAAACCCCTATTTAGGGCTTAGGGTTTAGGGCAGTGTACATAAACCAGCAAGTTTCGACTTGTGGCGAGATGCTCTGTTTATGAGAGCAGGCTGTTGTTGCTTGAGCTTTTGGGTTTAGGGCGTGCACTTATCGGACATGCTCGCCTACGAAACAAAGGCTCCACCGTCCATCATGTAAGTCCTGCAGAGACTGCAGCCTTGTAATCCCCACGGATGAAAAAGCCGGCTTGCAGGCCCAAACGCGAGGCCGGTCCGCTGTGCCTGGTTCAACGCCCTCTGCTAAGTGGACAGTGGCATTGCGACAAACAGCATACACGGACTCCACGAGTCCGGGCTGCCAGGCAACGTCTGCCCAGGTTGCAAAATGAAGATCCATTGCAGACGGCTTCTTGCAATAGGCCATAACTCTGGCGAGGTATACGACGGAATGGGCGGCGCAGTGCCCTGAACCAAAACTGCCATTGCCATCGCGAAGTTTCCCGAAAATGGAGAGCCAGGCTTCCAAAGCTGTTCCTGCTGCCTGCCCGACAAGAGTACTTCCACCATCAACTGGAGGGAGCTCCAGCAGCTGAAGGTGCTGAAGTCCGGCAGAAAAGCAACAGTCATCCTCAGCAAGAGAGGGGGGAGCGTACAGCAAGGATCTACACCCTAAGCCCTAAAGCCTAAGATCTACACCGCATGATGGCGTCGGCACCCCGGGCAGGCTTTGCCGAATTCTTGAACATGAGGTCTACCTGTGGCCCAAAGGGCCTACCTTTGTAAGGAACTATTTATAGAAACCATAATAAGGAGCCCTGAAAGGCAGGTCTTTTCGGCTAGAGGTAACGTTTAGTGTTAGGGGCTCATGATTTGTTCAAGGTTTCTGGCATGCTCGGAGTGTGATACAACACCTCGCATAGAAGGATAAGTCATAAATGATCGAGCAATCCTTGATAAGATTGGTGCATTTCCTGGCCAAGACGATATACAACACTGCAAAAACCCTTAAGGTATATGCCCGAGAAAGCCACCCTCTCTCTCTGTACATAATTGTTCTTAAATCTCTCTGTACATAATTGTTCTTAAATGTGTGTATATATATACATATATATATATATATATATATATATATATATATATGCATACGTATATACATATGTATACAGAAACCCTACAAACCCCTTTTCTTCAAGGTATACTCCTTCATCAAGAGGTAGGTGGGCTGATATCTGTCGGCACCCCTGTGCCCACTGCAGGCTCGAGGCATGGAGGCTATGTTTGGCACCTTCTTAGGATTCTTCTGAGGGTGCAGGGTTTATAGGGTTTGGGGGGTTTAGCGGCTTTTGGGGGTTTAGGGTTTAGGGAGGTTTGGGGGTTTAGGGTTCCGGGCTTTGTGCTTAGGGTTTCGGGTTTGGGGTTTAGGGTGTCGGATTTGGGGCGAGAAGCTTATGTAGCTGGTTTCGGGCTTTTTGGACGGTTCTGACCTAAGCCTGGGACTGAGTTGAGCAGGACTTTCGTTTACTCCAGTCCGTACTTGGAGGTTCATGGGCAGTTATAAGTGGGGTTATAAGTCCCCTAATATGGGTTACAACTATACTTACCTTACTTATAAACCCACTTAAAACTCCCCATGAACCTCCAAGTAGTTGCTGCTGGATGCAGTGGACGTTTTCTCTCAGACGGGTAAAACTTCCCTGAGCCTCAAACACTTAGCCCCTGCGCCCGGAACCCTCCGATCTCATCGCGGCCTCTTCTAGCAGCGCCCGATCCTGCTCTTTAGGGTTCCATCAAAGGGATCCATAAGGGTTCCTTTAAAGGTTTCTTTCAGGGTTCCTTTAAGGGGATCCTTCCAAGGGATCCACAGGGGTTCTGCGAGGGTTTCGGGTTTAGGGATTCGAGGTTTAGGGGCTCAGAGTTCGGGGCTCACAGTTCGGGGTTTAGGGTTTGTGGGAGTTTCGGGTTTAGGGTTTTAGGGTTTTAGGGTTCCCTTTAAGGATACTATTAGGGTTCTATCAGGCTTCCTTTAATGGAGTTTAGGGGTTTAAGGGTTGAGGGTTCAGGCTTTGGGGCTTTAGGGTTTGGGCTTCAAGCCTTCGGCTCTGGTTTGGGGTTTACCTTAAACTGCCAAACCCTACTTTTTTGTAGGTTCTTATTATAAACCCTAATGTGGAATTTCTAGGGACCCTATAAAAAAAAGTAGGTTTTGGTAGGTTAAGGTAGGGTTTAGGGAGGGTGCGGAGTGGTAAACATCAGACTCTCAATGTTTGAAGGCACTCCCCCTGACTCCTAATACTCCTCGACTCTAAACCCTCAAACCTTGAAGGAACCCTTAAAAAAAGCCCCTAAACCCTAAACCCTGAACCCCTGCAGGAGCCCGTTAAAAGGATCAGAGACCTTATAAAGCCTGGGCCCCACTGCCGGAGGCAAGTGCCTGGGTTCCTATTGCCTAGAAGAGCCCGTATGCTTTGAGTACGGCAGGGGTGTTATAACTTGTGGCCTGTATGTTTAGAATATGGCTATTTGGGGGGGCGGGGTTCAGAGGGGATTTGTTTAGGGTTTAGGATTCAGGGATGAGGTTTAGAATTTAAAGCCTGGGGTTTACGTGGCTTGCCTGCGGTTGTCAGACTTCTACCTTAACCTACCACCTACCTTTTTGCAGGGTCCCTATAAACTCCATATTGGGGTTTATAATAAGAACCTACAAAAAAGTAGGGTTTGGTAGTTTAAGGTACTTATCAAGCCAGAATAGGGTTGCACCAGAACAGCAGGCGCCAGGTTTTGGGTTTTTTAGCTCTTGTTTTCCGATTTCGAGCTTACAAGGATGTGTGATATGGAGGCTTGAGGAATCGGAGACCGGCTTCTGGGAGACTAGTCGGTACTGTTATTGTGCTACATTGCTACACTTCGACAAAAGCGAACTGCAGAAGAATGCTGTTGTTTTGGCCGCTATTCACTTGCGGAACTCACAAAGTTGCAGACCCTAAACCCTAAACCCTGAACCGATGACAATCTGGCGGAATCTGCGGGTCCTGCGTCGTAGCTGCTGCCTGCAACGTCGCGCGAGACCTTCCCACCCAAGATGGCGAAAACGTACACCCTACACTCCAAAATGGGGTTTTGGGTGTAATTAACCCTACCCCTGTTTTGGGTCTAACCCTACACCCCTAAAGCCTAAGCTGTAAAACGCTTCAGCTCTAAACCCCAAGCTAGGGCAAAACACTAAACCGCTAAACCCCTACACCCCCACAGCCGTAAACCCTCTTAGAACCCTTATGGATCCCTTAAAAGAACCCCTTCCAGGAACCCTGAAAAAAACAAACCTTTAAAGGAACCCTTATGGATCCTTTTAAAGGAACCCTTTAAAGGAACCCTGAAAGAGTCCAAAGAAACCTGGAACCCCTAAGCCCTTCCGGGCTTCTCGAGATAAGGCTGATGCCAAGATGCTTCGCTTTAGGGTTTGGGGGTTTAGGGTTTAGGGTTTCGGGTTTTGAAGCAAGGGACAGCAACACCCGCAGCGCCAAGGATAGACCGAGGAGTGGTGCGGTCGTGTCCACCTGAAGTTGACGAGGGCTTCGAGTGCAGAGGTGCCGGCAAAGCACGCAAGCGGGTAGGCAAACGGGAGCCTGTTGGAGTCGGACCTCTGGGGTGTCGCCTGGACCTGATGGTAAAAGTCTTTTCGATCAGAGGCAAAGCCACAAACCTTATCCCGATACCTTCGCAAAGAGAAGGCAGTCAGCAAGTGACCCTGAGGCAATGCCTCTGAAGGTTGGCGGGCCTCCTGTCACCTATTTGCCTGTCAATGCTTTCATTCTTGAAGCTGTTGAAAATCCGGCAGGATCGAGCAAAGGCCTGGTCCGTAGGCAGAGGGGGCCGTAAGTCGAGGAGGCCATTTGCATCCCAAGGGCGTGCGAGCGCAATCGGACCTTGACTCGCCAGAAAAGTCAGGAAGGGTCTAGGGTTTAGGGTTTAGGGTAATTGTGTAGCCGTGCCTAAGGATTTCGGGATCAAGCAAGGGGAGGCAAAGGGGCCCGTCAATCCTCCAGTTCCCGGTGCCATGGAGGCAAAGGCGAGACACATCAAGGGCCCGGTGGGTCTGTAGCTGGGGCAAAGCAGTGGGAGCGGAGACAGTTGGCATGTCGCGCTTGCCAGCAGGGAGCTCAGAGGCTTTGCTCGGGTTCCCATCAGAAGGGCAGGGTTTAGGTTTAGGGGTTTAGGGTTCGGGGGCTATGGTTTAGGGGTTAGGGTTAGGCCCTAACTGCCAGCACCTAAGGGCCCTTTAATAGAGTCCTTATGGCCCTCAATAGTGAGTATTTGTGGTTCTAAGTATGCCTAAAAGATTTTGGGGCTTTGGGGTTTAGGATTTACAGCATTTAGGCTCTAGGGAGTTCTACCTACAGTCTCCATTGTAGCTCCTTGTTTGGGCTTAACAATCTTGGAGCCGTAATCGAAAACATCTTGAATCCAACGCCTCAGTACCAAACCCCCAAACCGTCAACTCAACCCCTCGCCTAAACCCCAAACATCACTGAACCGAAAATCCAAGACCCCAAACCGGAGAGTTTTGCGGCTTGTAGTGAAGACCTATTGTGCCTCACACCTGTAGTTTATGGCTTTGGGCCAAAAGGTTTAACGGTGTAGGGATTATAGACATGCACACATGTTACATGTGTGTATATATATATACACACATATCAGTAGATGTATATGTCTGTGGCTGAGAGATGTTCATTCTAGAGTTGCAAAGTCCGCAGCTCCAACCATAAACCCTGGTCAACCCGTAAGCCGCAAACTCTTAACTCCCAAAGCTCTCAACCTCGATCTTGCGTTTCAGAATTTCAACTTCAAGTCGAAAACACTAAACCCTAATCAAAAACCCTAAACCCTAAACCCCAAATCCTAAACCCTGACCCCTAAATCCTGACCCCTAAACCCCAAACCTTCGGGTTCAAACTGCAATTTTAACTCTGGGCCGGACCTCGCCACGTCGGCACCCTGGACCAGAGCCTCCTCGTCGTGATGCCTTGAGGCTTCTTTAGGGCTTAGGGCTTATGCTTAGGGTATTAGGCTTAGGTTTTTCAGGTGTCGGGTTTAGGGTTTAAGTAATCAGAGGGTTTAGGCTTTAAGGTACTCGGAGGTTTCCGGTTAGGGGTCCGGCTTCAGGCTCAGGGTGCTCTCCTTCGTATGCACTACTCAGAGATATGAATCCAAGGGTAAAAGGAGGGACCCTTGATAAGGACCCCTAGGTATACACCCTTAATATATATATATATATATATATATATATATATATATATATATAGCTATTATATACCCATTATATAGCCCATTAGAGGGTAGGGGTCCGCATTAAGGGTCCCTCCTTTTCCCCTTTGAATGAAGTTCCTGCCCTCATCCTATACTCGAGCTCATGGAGTTCCTGTATCCCCAAACCTTACAAAGTTGTAGGTTTATGATCCCGACATAACCCCTTAAAACGGTGGGTTTTAGGAATCCCAAACCTTACATAAAATAGTAGGTTATGAGTTGTGAACCCTTAATTCCGGGTATAGCCCCTTAAAACGGTGGGTTTTTTTTCGGTGGATCCCCGGGTTTGCAGGGAACTCCAGAAAGTTGGAATATGCTTTCATGGTAGGATACCCTACAATTTACCATAGAAGGGTTAGGATAATCATATTCCAACTTTCTTGCTTTTACCCTAAACCCTAAACCACTTCATATAAAACTGCAGAAACCTACCAAAACCCTGAGCACGCTGTAAGACCCCAACACAACCCTTGACCCGAGACCCGACCTTAGGTTGCGGGTCTAAGGCTGACGGTTTAGAGCTTCGGCCTTCCATGCATCCAAAAGCTGTGCGTCGAAACCCGGGGAGGCCACTACTTTAAGGGTTCCTTTAAAGGGACTCCCTAGGGGTTTGGGGTTCCTTTAATGGGATCCATAAGGGGTTTAGGGTTTAGGGTTCATGGGTTTAGGGTTTATGGGTTTATGGGATTGTGGGTTATGGGTTTAGGGTTACAGCCGCTGGGATTATGTGTGGCAATAGTTTAAGGGGAACTAGAGGTTAACCTTTGGCAGTATATATGAGAGTTTCCGAAAATTAAGGTACCTTATTTTGGGGTCCTTATATTAAGGATCCTACTACTTAGGGTACTATGTTTGGATCCCCTATTTTCGGAAACTCCCCTCTGGCAATACCTGAAGGTTCATGGGTAGTTATTAAGTCCCCTAATACGGGTTATAACTATATAGTCGCCTTGCTTATCACCCCATTTGTAACTCCCCATGAACCTCCAAGCATAGGGACCACAATACCCGCCAACAACGTGAACGCATGCCTACTCTACTGCTAGGTACTTCACAGGAACTTCCACTAGACCTAAGAGTAACCTAGGAATAAAATGGGTGCCCTTGTTGAGTTAAAGGGGGGTCATAAAAGAACCGAAACCTTAAGAAAGGGAATAAGGGCCTACTCTAGGTCCTAGTCCATTTAAATTCCAAGCCAGGTCTGAGAAACGGCCCTGCACATTGCAACGGCTCGACTGCCCTACCCAGAGCCTCCAAAACCCCTTAATTGGGGAATATACCTTAAACTACCATAGGATCCCTTATATAATTTAAGGTATATTCCTTAATTAAGGGGTTTTGGAGGCTCTGGGATTGCAACGGCTCGACTGCCCTACACTCCCGCACGAGCACAGCCTCGCAGCTCAGGGGAGGCAATGCCACTTGAAGCTCGGAAGCACCGCCCCGCCCTTTTGGGTCGTCTAGATCTAGGATACCCAGTAACCTAAGAATAAAAAAGCCTCTCTTTTTGGTATTGGGTAACTTTATAAGGAACCTAGGACTACAAAAAGGGAATAAGGGTACTACTGGGCATCCTAGAGATTCTATAGAAACAACTTAGCAGCGACTTAGCAACTCATCGGCGCCCACACGCACAACAGATCCCAAAGCCAAAACCACAAGACTAGAAGCCCTAAAGCCCCAAAATCCATTCGAGACATTGGGGTCAGCGGATTTTGAGTTCGGGCTTCTGGGGCTTCATACCCAAAACCCTAAACCGTGACGGCTTTGGGGTTTAAGGATTAGAAAGTGTAGGTTCTGCGTGTCTGGGTTCCAGACCTCTTCTTGCAACATAATACAGCAGACCCCATAAAGTTGGAAACCAGGTTAATTCCAAATTGGGCCGGGGTTCCGTATACAGTACCTGTAAGGATTGAGGATATGCGGTTTCCAACTTTTGGGCTTCTACTATAGTGCACGTACCACAAAATCCTATTCCAAATAGTCAGGCCCTTATATTCGCCCCCAAATGGGAGTTTCCGAAAATAGGGAACCCTAATGTAGTACCCCAAATCGTAGGATCCTGATTACAAGGGCCCCAAAATCCCAAATCATCGCTCGTTCTTCCGCAGCGAAACCCTAAACCCTAAAACCTAAACCATTGAGCTCCTCGCCGAGACCGGGGAAGAGATGCAATGTAGCTGGCAACATCTGCGACCTCGTCTTCAGATTGGGATCTATAGGGATCTTTGAAAAGGATCTTTAGGGATCCTTTAAACGGATCTATTAGTCTAATAGGGCTCCTTTACAGGGATCTATAGGGGTCCTTGTTGGGTTCAGGGTATAGGGAAATGCTTAGCCCTACTTGGAGGGTCAGGGGACTTAGTAAGTAGGTAGTAAGTAGACTTATAAGCACCCAAAAAGGGACTCTAATTGGGGTTATGGTACTTATAAGTCCCTAAAAAACCAGTTACTAAGTCCCCCGACCCTCCAAGTAAGGGTCCAACGGACCCATTCATGGAATGATCGTAGTTATGTAGGTTACTATTTCGGAGAGTATATGATTATGAGGTACTTCGACCCTTAGGGCAAGGGTTACAATAAGGGTTTTAGCGTTTAGGAGGTTTTGGGCTCTAGGGACCTCGGAGGAAAACAGCCAACCGAGTGTAGGCTATGAGTGCCCAGAGGGTTTTCTACGATTTTAGTAGGGTGCTATGATGGCTTCTTTGAGGATGCCTCCTTCTTATTTTCAAAACCCGAAGAGCATGTCACATTGCATACCCAGGGCCCGACATGACTTGAAGAAGTTGAGCATCACTCCACAGAGGGAAAACCAGCAACGGTGAAGCCAACTGTGGGGTCGGGTTTACCGGCCTAACTAACAAACAGCCCGAGTTTAGGGTATAGGCGTTCGGGGACAACCATATAGGTTAGCGGTTGATGGGTTAGTCTTTGCGTCTTTGCATATCAAGGACCCAGAAACTACAAAAAAAGTAGTATACCACTGAACGGCCCGACTTAACCCGTTAGGGCCTAACGGGTCAAGCCGGGTCGTTAGGGCTTGCCAACCTATATACTTGTATGCTTTGGCCGTCAAAGGGTTCCTGCGGAGTAACTTGAGGGCCAATGCAAATACCACATTCGGCACAAGAACCTTTAGAAAGGTCTAGGGTTGATAGAGCTTGCAAAGTTACAAACATAGCGCGGCCTTTTTTATGAACACAGTAGCATATATAAACCTTTACAAGCTCTATCAACCCTACATCCTTCAAAGGGGCCATGTACCCAGTGCAGTACATGGGTAGTTCTCTATGATCCCCTAGACCTAAGAGTAACCTAGGAATAAAAAGGTTGCCCCTTTTGAGTTAAAGGGTGTTCTAAAAGAACCGACACCTTAAAAAAGGGAATAAGGGCCTACTCTGGGTCCTAGTCCCTTTTAACGTCCCAAGTTAGTACGGCACCCTTGTAGAAAAGGATCCTGCGAGGGAGCCTAATTCAGAGAACTACCCAGTACACTGCCCAGACCTTCCAAACTCCCTTAATAAAGGAATATACCTTAAATTATAATAGGATCCCTAATATGAGTTAAGGTATATCCCTTAATTAAGGGATTTTGGAAGGTCTGGGTGGCTATGGAGTCATTTGAGCTGGAGGCACGACTGGGTAATAGGACCCCAAAAAAGTATATAAGCAAAACCAAGGATAGTGATATACCATATAAAACCGCTTCTCATGAAGCCCAATAAGGTAGGGACGGTAGGGATATCCCCCTAAAATGCTTATGCTTATGTGCTTTTTTGGGTCCCTAATATAATGTAAGGCTTCAGCGTTTTGGTTTTAGGGTGGCACGGCTTAGGGTTCAGGGGTTTAGGGTTTACGGCGTTAGTCAAGCTCAGGACTTAGGCTTCACGTTCGCAAGCCAGGACCAGACGAGCAATCAAACTAGGCCCTAACCTCAACAAAACCCCAAACTCCGAACCTCTCTGAATCGCAGGGTTAATAGGGGGCCCCTGTGGAGGGGACCCCTGTGGGTTGCACTTGCCGATGGCTTTCCCACCCATTTGCCCCCATTAGGCCCGTTTGGGCCCCATTGGGCCGCAACACGCCCGTTCGGCAAATGCAACCCACAGGGTTCCCGTCCACAGGGGCCCCGCATCAACCCTGTGACTGACGCCTGACCAAGGCCACACTAAACCCTAAAGCCAAACCCATACCTAAAGACGGTTGTTTTTAGTGACTCTGAAAGCCTTTTCTCTGCGAGATCTCACCAGGAGCTGGCTTTGACCGAGCCTCAAGCCCTGAAAGATCAAGATTGAGTTTCTTGAGGCAGGCTTAGGGAACAGGGCTTAGGGTTCAGGGTTTAGGGCTTTGGGTTTAAGATTTGGGAGTTTCCGAAAATAGGGAACCCTAAGATAGGACCCTAAATAGTAGGATCCTTATTATAGGGGCCCCAAAACAAAGTACCCCTAGTTTTCGGAAATTCCCATTTTGGGAACAGGGCTTAGGGTTTGGGACTTACAGGGTTTAAGGTTGAGGCAACAGGGCTTAAATTACCCTGAAAAATGAAGATTCAGTCCTTATAAGCCAGGATACCGCGCTTAGGGGTTAGGTTGTAGGGTTCACTAGCCTATTGCTAGGGCTCTTAAGCTAGGATACCCAGTAACCTGTCCCGTTTTTGTATTGTATAGCTTTCTACTATAAGGAATAGGGAACCTATATAAGACTGCAAAAAGTTAAAACGGGCCAGTGGGAGACCAAGTGACCTAGCGAGGTTTAGGGAACAGGGCTTACAGTATAGGCCAAAAAGTTGGAACATCGTTGTCCTTGGTCAAGTCTGGGGAATCTGTCTGGGGTTCAGTCTAGGTCTTAAGTTATCGCGAATAGGGCTTACTTAAAGGATCATGGGACTTAGTAACTATAGGGTTATAATTAGGGTAACTGTACTTATAACTACAATCCCAATTAAGGTACCTATAACCTGACTTACGAAGTCCCATGATCTCCTCCAAGTAGGGTTGAAAGCTGAAATAATTCTCGAGAGGATTCCTTTTTTAGGATTCAATCTTCCAGGGGCGGGCCGCTCCGGGGTGAAACGGAATGAAACCCTAAACCCTAAACACCTAAACCCTAAAACCCCCAAACCCTAGACCCTAAACCTCAACCGAAGGATTCCCGACAGCTCATCTCTGCTCCTCCCAGTAGTTATAAGGGTTCCTTTAAGGGTCCCTTTAAAGGGATCTATCGGGATTCTATAAGGGTATAGGGTTTAGGGTCTACTTGGAGGTTCATGGGTAGTTAGAACTACAAGTCCCCCAATATGGATACTATACTTACCCTACTTATAACCCTACTTATAACTACACTGTTACACAGGACGAACCTCCAAGTGGGGTCCGTAAAGAACTGTAGCAATGGGCTTCATGGGAGTTGTTTAATATGGTTCCGTGTAGGGTTACGATCCTACCGCAAGAGTAATCGAGCAGAACAAGCATCCAGATAGAATTTTGGCTGTTAGACCAGCTTAAGCCCGAGTTCCTACAAGTCTAAACCCTAAACCCTCGTCCTAAGTTATCCTCCAGGAAGGACCCTAGTTAAGGGACCTATGAGCCCAAAACATAGACCCTGACTCTCGGGATCCACATACCCAAACTTTATATGTACATATTTGTATATATTTGTATATATACATATATATATATATATATGTATGTGCATATATGCTCTGGCCCTACTTAGGACTACTGCAAGGCCAAAGTATTCACTTCTTGAATGCATCGACTATTGTATACCCTAGAAAGTCCCTAAGCCCTCATGCTACCCTGCTACCCGTATAGACATAGAACCTATGAAGGAACCCTATTTGTGCACGTGGACCCTTAGGATAAATAGTAGAATCCATAGCTTAGCACAAAACCCCGAATGCCCTGGGTTTAGGGTTTAGGGTTTAAGGTTTACGGCTTAGGGTCCCTGAATCTGATCTTACAATATACACCAAGACCCCTCTTAAACGATGAAGGCATCTACTTTAAGCTACCAAACAAAACTCCTGCGAAGCTTCATATTTCCTATAAACCCTACTGCAAAATCTAAGCGACCCCACAAAAAGCATGGTACGACAAGCTAGCAGCTAGCCCTAAACCCTAAACCCTCAACCCGCTTCCCTTGTCGGGAACCCCCTGGAAGGCATCGTGCAAGCAGCCGCCCCCATGCTTTTGGTGGGTGCGCGGCTGCACAGAGAGCGCAGAGTACCAGGTCGAGGCTACCATACGGGAGTTTCCGAAAACGGGCGACCCCAATATAGTACTCTACATAGTAGGATCCTTATTATACAGACCCCAAAACAGGGTACCTCTAATTTTCGGCAACTCCCATATCTGTTTGGAGCTTAGAATTCAACACCCTAAACCCCTAAAGTTTAGGGCTTGGGCTTCTTCAAGCTGCGGTATATCAGCCTTTAAAGTGACCCGAAACCCACAAAATCCGAAACTGAAGACGGCTGACTTCACCAGACTCCATTCTCAGGTTAAAGGTTTGCCTTGACCCTGAATAACCTACCTCTTTATAGGGTTCCTTATTGGGATTTCCTTACAATAAGTCCTTAAAACGGTAGGGGTTTTCGGGTGAAGGTAGGGTTCAGAGAGACTCCAACCTCTCCGCCTCCCTGCCCCTCCCCTCCCTCCCTGTTGCAGTTTTAGGGCTCAGGGCTACTTGTATAAGGTGTACCTATGCCCTCCACACTAGGTTTTTGGTCAAGTGCTCAATCCATTAACAGCCGTCATGTGCGAGATTTACACCTACAAACACCGAATAATATGAACCGGACCTCATTTACTAATGGAGGGGGTATGCTCAGAAGACGGGAGCGCGCGCGCCACTGGGGAAAGAACGCGACCACCGCGCTTTACGGGCAAATGCACCAAGTACGGGTTACATTTCAAGCATGGCATCACCACCCGGTTTGGCAAAGAGGAGCTACATAACCCTAAACCCTAAACCCTAAACCAGCTACATTTAGGTAGTTCCTTGAGCCTAGGGTAGAGAGTACCCAACCCTTGGGTCTGAAGATGTGGGTCGGACGCATCAGGGGAAGAGCAGCAACATCACCTGGAAGCTGCCTGCAAACATGTTGAGGGTCTTATTAGCTTAGTTTAGAGATGGGTTTAGGCTCGCAGCGTTACGTCTGCAATTCAAGATGATCCCCTACACACACACACACAC